AGAACTTAAGTAACGCGCATATATTCCTCGTTTCAGTTTGAATTTAACACTGCATTTGGTCTTTGTTATGACAAGAAGCGAAGAATTAATAGTTAGAAAAACGTTTCTCTATCACAGCTTTCAGAATAAAATAAAAAACTTAACCTTTTGATCGAATTGCACAAGGTGTCTAATTAATTAATATATAACACGTACAGTAGCTGACGTACCAACTGTACGCGACTAATTAGCAGAAAGTAAGTGGCAATAGACGCTCATCGAAACAGCTCGATACTAACTTGAACCGCATACTAACAAGAGCCGACGAAAAAGAGGCGTGCGCGTTTATTATATCTAAATTCGCGCTGTATAATTAAATCAGGTATTTTCGGGCAACGCGCATCAAAAGTGAGACTTTATTTTCGCTTCGTAGAAGCGTATAAGCGTCAAACCAGTACAACGTACGAACAGGAGCCGGTTCGGAGATAAAAGTTTGTCGTATGTTCGAACCATAATCCGGCAAGAAATCTCGCGACCTGTTGCACGCCGTTGAAAATGAAGCGCATCCGTCCTGACGTATCGCTGCTCTATTTTCCTTTCAACTGGATTTCTCCAGGTTATTGCCAGCCACGAACTTCCATCCGTGACGCACTCTAAGAAAAATTTATTCCGCGAACACGATCAAAAAAGATCAGTTTGCAAAAAAGATCGTTCCTTCTAGTTGACATATTTCTTCCGACGTCTGGATTTGTATTTCTGCAAAATGTTGATCAAAGTTGCAGCTCGCTATCGTTCAATGATACCTGAACGTTTGCTCATACTTGACGCAAACTACATTTTAATTAGGGGAACGTAGATAAATCAGACTACAGTTTTATTCGTTGTAATTACAAGACTGTGACTTTTTACGCAAATAAAAAAGAAATAGGGAAATGAATCATAAATAGCGATTTGTTTCACTCGTTTGCTTCGTTTGATCTTCATTTCACATCGGAAATTTTATATTCCCACAAGTGCATAAACATCTGCAGCCCGACAGTTATCATAGCTACGTATGGTTACAATATTACGTCGATATTAATGTTAAATTGATTTTTAAAAGCCAATATGCAACGATAAAACCAGTGTTTGTAAGTTTAAAACCTTAGGAAAAAATATTTTTTCTGAATAAAGACCAACGACACTTAATAATTGACGAAATTGAAATGCCACAGGCATGTGCACTATGCGATTAACAAATCAGTTCGGATCATTTTACCAGCTGCGTAAATGATATCGAAAGACATTTTCTGGATGCAGTAGTGGCCGCGAATTTTCGGGAATCAGAGGAGACCGAGAACCAGAAAGGTTCTCTCTCTCTCTTTCTCTCTTTCTCTATGCTGGCCATTCGCCAACGGCACTGCGGCATGCCATGCTTTTGTCCACAAAGAGCGTGCTTACCACACGAATATATCTTCTTGCATCCTTCTACCTCGTTCTCGTTCGAACAGTCGTGTGCTCGATGGAAAGTAGGGAAAGGGAAAAAAAAAGAAATATTTAAGCCCTTATCTGCGTGACGGTGGATCTTGAGCTGACAGCGTGCAACTTCAACGCGAATCGGAAGATTTTGCAAGCTCCGATTTCCGTGAAAGTCGAACGACCTACTTCCATCTTTTCGCGCTCGTAAAATCCGCAACTCGATAGCATGTAAATTTTCCTCTGCAATCTATTTTTACTCCCTTTCTGTTACCTATCTTCTTATCTTTGCGCGTAAAAGAATCGCTGTCTATCGTAAGGTAAACGATCGTGTTCTCTATGGTGCGGTTTTACACAGTAAACAATGACGCCACGATGCGGAAAACAGACGACAGTGAAAGTTTAATCGCAAGAAGGCGGCTCTCTTTCTAAGAACCTGGAGGAGATGGTTAATCCGTGATCGATCCAATACCTCGAAAGTCTTAATGTTTTGTGGAATTGTTCGATTTATTTCATAAACATTCACCGTGTTAAAAAAGTGTTTTCCAACATTTATTGAACCGCGATCCTCTTTTACAATGTTCAAGCTGTGACTCTCCGCCATGTTCCCCCATATATTGTATTTTCCTTTTATTTAGATATTACTGATATTACATAATCCTGAAAACCTTCACGGCTTGTGTTTGACTTTAACGTTAGTAACTATTACCAGAACTAGTAAACGCTAGTAATTTATTAAACAGATTTTCTTTTTTTACTACTCGTTTTACTGATCGTCTAAAATCATCAAGTAGTCTGAATCATACTGGTAGTAAAAATTACGATTTCAACTTGAAGAAGATATTTTGTATCTGCAATGACGTTTACTTTGAATTCTAAATATAGTTCTACCGATATAGAGTGAAAATTAGTTTCGATTAATGCGAGTTTCATAGAATATTTGAGTGGTTTAGATAGTTCTCAGGAAAATTCAAAGGCAACAGATTAAATCGTTGTTTCTACAATTATCAGAAACGTATCTGATTCTTCTGACGAAACTAATCCTCTTCCTGAAACCAAAACCTGATTACGTATATATATCTACTTTATTATTATCGTAACACTTTAATTATAATCGTTTAAATATAATACACGTATATAGGTATACATAAAAAATAAGTAGTTCTAACGTTCCAAGTACTATGCATAATCGAAAGCCAAAAAATTTGTAATTCCAATCAACGATCAAGTATATACAGATATTTATACCACGTCGAAGTGAATTTATTTGAAATAAAAAATTATTTCTACTTTAAAGAAATGCCCACGCCCAAGTCCACGCATTGCGGAATTTTTGCAATCGTTACCCATAAATATTTCAACAAACTAGAGAAAAACACATGTACCAAGGAATTAACTAGATGACCTCGACAAGCTTAAATAGTAATCAATATTTTATAAAAATTTATTTTATCGATTAGGCCATAATTAATCGTAAACAAAAATAAATAGGTAGTAAAAATCCTCAACTGAAACTGTCTGCAACTTTCTAAGAAACACTTCGCGAACTCTTTAAGAGTCACAACTTACTCACAAGTTAGGAATCTACGGACGAATTGTACGAAAAGCGTGGAAAATACGCGCGAACTTACACGTACTCGAATCTCGCGCAGGCACTTAATTGGCAAGAGCGCGAGAATGCCACGCTGTTGACTTCGATATATGTAGCCATTTCTTATGCCGATCGATCAGGTTTAAACGCTTCAGTGAACCGGGACGAGAGTTGCACAAAGACATAGGACGCTTGAAGTCGCCCGTGTAAATGCTAATCGAGATTACCAAGTAGATTAGTAGACGTTTCGACTGACTGGATGCGGAAGTGGTCGGCTGGCAACGGCTGACAGACGAGAAACTGCACACGACTTCCTCTCAATGGCCATGTTATTTCACCTATTGTTACGACTGCACGTAACCTATCGATTAAATCTAATTAACTGTCACGTTTCCGTGGCCATTACGCCTTTCATTAGCAGATAAATTCACCCTGTATATATGTATAACACGTAAATCAGATTTGCATACAATCATATCCGCGTCTGCTTGAATCGGTGAACCACCTCGATCGAAAGAGCGACGAGCGTAGAGCGTGGAGTCGTTGTTGCTCAACTTTCCGGAGCAAACATCTCCTTGCGTCAGAAAATTTGCATCCAATATTCCGCGGAAGCGTAGTTGGCGAACGGTAAGTTCGACGAAAGACGCGTACAATCACGATTCTTTGAAATCAAATCGTTCCTGCGACGACAAGTTTCTCGAAACGAATCAAATATATCGCACTTTGGAAGTCTACGATAACGTAGTTGCTTACGAAAATATTCGAACGCTTGTAGAAATGTATTGCGAATATATCGTGTGTTTTATATTATGTTTTATATTCTAAGCATTTTCTAGTTTTATTAGCAAGTATGATGAGCCTTTTTATCTCTGCAAAGCGATATACAAAAACAGGAATAAAATATCCAAAGCACCCGATTGATTACAATATTGAATAGGTAAAACAAGTATAAAAGGCGCGTGATAACGTGACAAGTTCTTTTTTCTTAGCTTCTCGTTAAATCCATAAATATCAATTTCTTGAAAATAGCTGAGAAATTCTTAAGATCTCGTGAAAAATTAATAAAATGTGATTTATTGAAATGTTCAACAAGATGCAAAAATATATATTTTGATCTCACAACCAAATAAGAGAACAGTTTTCATCAACATGTAATTAATTATTTATTTTTTAAATCGCTTATCGTGTTTTCTCGGCTTCTTCGTATTTGCTCAGATACCATATTTTTACGTTCATTCGTAAAAATATGACTTTGCATAAATATCTATAATCGTTATTCACAAATGTTGTTAGAACCCTATGAAGCAAACTTTATGTATTTTGCTGAATTCGGATTTAAAAATACATATTGAAGTTGATCTCGACACTAATCATTTGGCACCGTCAAATCTTTTCATCAATTAACCGATTCCATGGAAAACGGTTCCATCCAATGGCGACCATTTCCTTCCTGTGTTTAACTGATATATTACGAGAACCTCGGTTTATGAATTCGTTCTGGTCGTCTGGTTTTCTTACACGATCAAGGGAAAAAGGAACAGCAAGAAGTTTCTGCAATCAGAGGCATCGCATGTTTGCGCGCGTTTCAAAGAGGAAACGCGTATATGTTCGTGGTTGAAGCTCCGAATATGGCGCGTAAAGGAGACTGGGCAAGGATTTTCAGGTTCGCGAAAGACGCTACGAGGTTTTATCCTTCGACCCGGACGAGGCTTGTTTCCCCTGTGGGCAATGCGCCTTCAGGGACGATTAACGCGGAACTCGCCTCCTTTCCCCTTCTACGATCAAATAATTCTCTTCTTGCCAAAGTCGATCTATGTCCTTGAAAATTTGTTTCCCAGATCTGGATGTGTATGCGTTAACCACTGAAAGTAATGGAATATCTTTATTGCTTAAAGAACGTTTTTCTTTATTAATACTTTTCTATCTGAGTATGAAAGAATCATCTAGGTAATTAAATTTTGTTCATATTCTGCAGAATGGAGATCTATGCATATCAATCCTGCATCCACCAGTAGATGATCCACAAAGTGGAGAACTGCCATGCGAGAGGTGGAATCCGACACAGAATGTCAGGTGAGCATCACAAGTAGGAATAGCTGATCCAAAGCTGAATGTTAAATACTCTTGGTATATGTTGAAACACATACCATGAATCTTGCTGTTGATTACTGTAAATGTAAAGAAGTAACACGGAGAAACGACAAATGAACTCTCGTTTTGAAATAGGACGATCCTGTTGTCCGTGATTTCGCTTCTGAACGAGCCCAATACATATAGCCCTGCCAACGTGGATGCCTCGGTGATGTATAGGCGCTGGCGCGACTCCAAGGGTAAAGACAAAGAGTATGAAAATATCATAAGGTACAATAATATTGATCTATTCCGCATCCTACAGATTTTTCCATTTATCCTACACGTAATACTTCCCTTTTATCTCTTCGTGCTACCTTATCGTATAGAATACTGATCAAACACACATACGTGGAAGTGTAATATCAAATTTATCGCGACGTAAAGCCTCGTAAATTTAAAATGTTGGAAGTTAGAGAATGAGGAAAACGCACGTGTTATTATTCTTTTTGGAGAAAAGATACGAAGATGAGGCAAAGCAACGCACGTACATCCAAGAAATGGTTGCTTGATTACAGAAAACAAGCACAAGCAGCAAAGATGGAAGCTGAGAAAGAGGGGATCGTCGTACCAGTAACGTTGGAAGATTACTGCATTAAGACTCATGCGAGGCCAGCTGAACAACAGCTAGACATGACGGATTTCTATGATGATGAGTACGAGCTGGACGACGACGACGATGATGAGCAAATGAGCGCCAGTGACTACGAAGACGGTGACGACAGTGGCAACGGAGAGTCGTGATCCATTTTCTCAAACTATTAAAAAAAAAACTCGAAAACGCTAATTATTATCAGTTCTGTATAGATTAATAAATTAACGGGCTTCTAAACCGGACGCTCTCTCTTTTCAGACGTGCCACCTTAAATTCAAGTACGCGTTTAAAAAAGAACTTAACTCGTCGTTAGGTATTTAAGTAGGCTCGTATTTTAGGATGACGTCGATAATATCACGTTATTCTTCGTCACAATATCGTAGACGAAATCGACATAAAATTCGTTGATTAGTTATTTATCATGATATTATTTTTGTTGATCGTGATCATTTCAATGTAAGATTGAATCGTTTTACAATGTATTTTGGTTTCGATTCAACTAATAAAAATATTTATAAACCGGTTATAACTCCATGAAGATGTAACGAGATTTTATTAGAATATACACATTATGAAGTGATATGTAATTTGGAAAATCTCGAAAAAAGAAATAATTCTATGTATGCTAAATTGTTGAGAATGCCGTGTTTATAAGCTCTTTAACTTAAGCAATATACGGTATGAAAATAAGTACTTTGTTAGAAGCACCGTGCTTGTTGTGTTGTGGTTGGCACGTCGATCTTTTAACTAGGTAAAAAGTAAAAAGGACCAATTGATTTACCTTATGGTGATCAGCGTTCGATAAAATTAATCATAAATGAGAAGTACAATGATTGGGCTGGCTCAAATCTTCTTTATCCATGTGTTGTATTTGAAATTATCAATGGGTATATCAATTGATCCTGCATTTTAAATCTTCGATAAAAATTTACATTGAATAAAGTGAAATTCCTCTGTTTCGTATGATTATTTATGCTATAAAGCCAAAAGTTGGTAAGAAATTCGGATGTGTGAGAAAAGAAGCAAACTGCCAAAAAAGACCTGTTAAACATTCTTCGTAGTCGTAAATTTTATTTAAAACAGGTATACTGTTGGAAAAAAGTTTCTTAAATGTTCTTTTTTTCGATTCGACCGACTAATTCAAATCAATTTTCTTCTTTTTTACACACAGATTTATATAAGTTTAAATATTACGTTAGACATTTATATTTCTTGTTTATAATAGAGCTACGAGGATTGTCTTTTGCGAAATAGTGTAACGTTTTAGGGCAGGTCTTTGGACAGCTTGTTTATTCATGATTTCTAAACATAGAATATAATTTTTTCTATGAACGATATATCTTAAGTTTCAATGATTTTTCATTAATATAATTAAATTCCTTTGAGAAAAGTACTGAAGTACGTCTATAAACTTCTACGTGCATTGCGCTACATCCACAAAGTTAGTTTAGCTTATAACAATTATTAAGATCTCTTGATGTTAAGTATTATCTTTCACACGGGGACGAAGCTTTGTAGGTGAAGTTAATTAAACATAAGCTTACTACTTAAGTGAAAGGAATACCAGATACAGCTAACCTACTCTGTGGTAGTGTATCTGTGCTCGTACGACTGAAATTGTAAATAGTACATGAAACCCAATCTTAAAGACATAAAATGTGTAAATGGTACTTCTATCTTCGTTCTCCATTAGCCATTTTATTAAAAGACCAAAATTAAGTGTTGAAAAATGTTAAACGGTAAAATAAAAGCAAAAGAATATTTAAATTTCAATATTGTCTAAAGGAAACATATACTCAGCGCTTGTAGTGATATAGCAAACAAAAAGTAAATATTCCCTAGTTCCTTGACATACCTATAACATATTTACATAAAGGTAAAACCTTTTTCATTTCTGTCTCTCTCATGTTGTCCTTAGCTACTTAATAATAGATGAAACAACTGTGTAAGACACTGACATAACACTAATAATTTATATACTATATAATTCTTTCCTCCTTTTTTTGTACATACCAATAAAATCTCTTCGTACAATTTAATAAAACTAGCGCAACAATATTAACGCACTTTGTTAATAGTTTAAGCTAAATATTATTATAATTTTTCATTTCGTACTTATATCGAGCGTTATAATTAACATACTGAGAAAAAGACACTTTATTTTTTAGGTAAGTAAATATGTTTTTATTTAAAAATCGTTCGTCCAACAAGAATAATTTTTAAATTGATCATCATTACTAATCTCATTATAAAATGTAGAAATTATAAAGATGTAACTTAATTAATTCACACTTTTATTCACAGATTCACACACATTCTTCATTTCGTACTTATATCGACCGATATGATTAATATCCCGACAAAAAAACACTTTATCTTTTAGGTAAGTAAATATGCTTTTATTTAAAAATCGTTCGACCAACACGAATAATTTCTAAATTGATCATCATTTCCCATTTCATTATAAAATGCAGAAGTCATGAATATGTAACTTAATTAACTTACACATTCGACGTTTACAATTTATTTTTTAGGAATACCTACTAATATATGGTTTTTAGGTGTACACGTGTTCGGTATGAATTTCGAAAGATACACTCTATAATCAAATTGTTCGGCCAATAACTTTCTGTCAGTATCGATAATAGCCATGCACTCGTATCCCTGATTTGTTTTAACATTTTTCTCATCATGTGTTTGGTCTGCAGCATGACTAAGAATTATATAACTTTCCTGATCTATTTCATTCTTAAAAATGTTACTCCTTGGGTATGTTAAATAATGACAATTATGTAATGATCCATAACAACACGGACAACACACAAAAATAGCTTTTTCTTTGATGCATTGTTGTATGACTAAATCAGTTGCAACTCCACACGCATGCAACGACATGCCAATATCGAAGTGTCCTTTAAAATAGACTAAATTACATTGATAAAATTTTATGTTCGTTAATTTTAACTTGTTCACTCTTTCCTTGGCTCTGTTCAATGATTTTTCTTTATTCTCCAATAATATAACGGTACAATATGGCAGAAAGTACGCGACTAAGATACCCAAATGACCGCTACCAGAACAAAAGTCCACTATTACATCTCCCGCTTTTGCCAACTTTATCACCGGTTTACACATATTTTGTAATTGTTCGTGTTTCCGTCTTAAGCGCGCAAGTGGTAAGGCACCACCTTCTGCGGTAGCGTCATACGGTACCGAAGACCAATCAAGATTCAATTCTGCACCAAATGGTTTCAAGTCGAGTTTGGTTTGTATGTTTAAGGCTTTGAACAATCGCAACGAGTACTCCACATCTTCTTGTCTCGTATAAACGCGACTTTTCGGTTTATATCTTTTCGGATCACTTTTATATAGACTTTGATTTGGTACATCAGGAAACATGTAATTGAATTTAGTCATATCTTGACTCTTCAATAATGGCAAACACTCGAGGCAGTCGAGTATAATTTGATCTTCGATCATTCTTTTATACCATTTAACGGTTAATGGAAGAAGCTGCATTGTAGTTTCGCTCGAAAATACACTCAATAAAATATGAGTGCAAACAAATATAATTATATCTGCTAGAGTCACGTACGAACCTTCGGCATATGTATGTTCTGGCGTTCCATCTTGTGAAATTATATTTTTATATTTATACAGATTGTGCAGCCTAGCTGGTTGCGACATGTGATATTCAAATCTGGCCATGCTGGAAGGTAACTTGATTTGTTTTGCATCACCCATGTGTAGAAATTTTACAGTCAGTACCAAATCTACCTCGCAAAATTTCGTCCAAACGCTTGATTCTGAACAAGCAGTTAAACAGGATTCTTTGAACCCTAATAACTTTCGACAGTAATGTGTTGGACATTCTGCCATGGTTTCTTTGATTATTTCACGCAGAATCGCACAAAGCCCTGCGATGCAACTAGCTTTATTTATAACGATAATTGGCAAATCACATGACAGTACCGGATATGGAATTTTCTTCATATCCACAACTTCATAAACAAAAGTGGAAATATTTATAGTATATACTCGTTCAAGAGGTTTTTGTTCACTTAGTACAAGCTTAATATTAATTTTAGAATTGCAGTATTTTACAGTAAATAATGTTATTATTGTTTCTATTGGAACTAGACATAATTCTGTCAAAGAATATACTTCCAAATAAACTTCATTCATTTTTTTAAACTTCCTGATATATCATAAAAGCACAAATAAAAGAAATAAAGATGTTATTTATTATACTATGCACTAGCCCTCAGTTGCCTGGCTACTTTTCTTATTATCCTTTGCCTCAGGACATTTTCTCTCCAATAAACACTGATACAGGAAGTTAATGCCAAAAGGAACATAACTGTCTCAAACTTCCAAAATGCTCTTTCCTCCAGCCAAGCTACCCTGTCACAACTGAATTACATATATGTATTATATTTACTACAATATTTATGCAATTCTTCATAAAACTATCAAGGGTACAGAAAATTAATTACCTTCTTGTTATAGCCTCTCCGCTTTTACATTTCAGAACTTCCTTGTATCTGGCGTAGACACATACATCAATGCTTTTACTTGCTATTTCAAAAGCAGAACATGGATGACATTCTGATGTTACTTCATATTCATCTCCAGAAATGCATCTTGTATTATTTTCAAAATTTTCTAAATAAAGTTTGTTGGGATTTTCTGTCCAATGGCTTTCGACAATTAATACCAGTATTGTTAATCTAGAATAAAAAATATAATGTTATTAATACGTTTATAATAACCATACTAACGGTATGTTAATATTCACAGCGATAGACAAAGAACTATAGAAGAAAACTAACCCTCCTAATAGTGTTATACCAATTAACATTCTCTTTTTTGTGCATAACTCGATCATTTCGAGGTACACTATGTCATGAATTTCGGCTTTCTCGGTCAGCTTACGTGACTCATGTGAGAAGTAAATAAAATTTTTAGAGAAACCTTCGTAAACAAAGCCAAAACCATTGGCTAAAGATAGAATGACATGACATTAAAAGGAACTTCGTGTATCAAGGTATGAAATACCGGCCAGTCAAAAAAACAGAGTGTGTCTTACGCCCTCTGCAATTTCCTACGGCGAACATAGGAATTATCACGGGCGACTCGTTAGTAATTATATCGGTAAAACAGCAAGATGTCGGTATATTATCACTAACAACTTTTGTATTTATCACTGCTGAGATATGCGAACATGAGTTCTATTGTCGCCCCTGATTTCAGTAGCCACCAAAGAGGAAATTGTACCTGTAGTTATAGATCAAAAGATGAGTAGGCTGTCGTCGACGAACATGGGAAAAATTCAGCCAAAAATACTCTGTATGAATTACCACCTCTGGCAGTGAAACGGCAGAACTATACATACATTTTTTTTAGTGGGAGTTATATGCATATACGCAGCGAGTGGGGAAATGTGCATTTCTCACTATTGTAGGCGAAGTACGTCTATATTTATTCGCTTTATAAATTAAAAATATAATGCAATCTACGTACATATACAGACCGTCAAAAACATAACAAGATCTTCAGTTTTTTTTAAACGATTCATATTTCAAAATATATATAATACAAATATATAATACAAATATATATAATATAATATAATATATATAATACAAATATATATAATACAAATATATATAATACAAAATATATATAAATCATAAGATACCAGGGAAATATAAAAAGGTCCAAAATATAAAAATATGTTTTATTTTTCACACAATTTTACATAAATAATTGCCAACAGGCAACGAGACTGAATACAATGAATGATTTGATATCAATTTAATATTATAATAATAAATATCAAACCCGCGCTCTCTTAGATAGACACACTGAAGCAGTGAGTAAATAAGTGAAGCGCCATCAATTTATACAAAGCATTATGTATATTTAAAGCGATAGAAATAGCTGCGACAGAAAATGGCATTTTCATCATTGCGTTGAAAATCGAGTATTATTATTACGCTTGTATACTTGTTTCTGTATTATGCAAGATAGAAGGCACGTGCAAAAAAGTTAGGAATTGTTTACTTGTCATGAAAATAGTGACGTATCGTTATTTGCGAAAATATAATACTTTTTTTATTTAATATGATTCGGTCTTATAAGCTATGTGATGGACTTTTAAGCTGTGGTATATATATGTATGTATATATGTTTCAGAAACAGATAAACCCTGTATATCTGATATGCTTCTTGGAAAGATGGATAGTAATAAATAAAGAAAGATAACGATAAATATGTGTGAACAAAATTTGAATGACAAGTGCAATATTAGACCATGCGCATACGCTCTTAAAAGAGAAAGCGTTTTATTGTCACGATATACGAGAATCACTGGTACGTTGCCTAGTTTTAAATAAAAAACTAAATAGAATGAATTAACATATCAGGAAGAAGAAAATCTGGCGAGACAATTTCCTTTTTGAAGCAACTTTTTAAAATGGCTAGTGTTATACCTAACTCTGATTATATGTCATTTAACTCGAGCAATATTAAAGAGTTATTGTCATGCATCGTTGAGACCAGCAATTTCTCAACGATAAAGTTGGTTTGCCCAACATTGTGAGCAGAAGTAATCATTTTCTGCAGAACCGAAAAATTGACAGTCTTCATTGCGACATTGTTTGACATTAGCCTAAGAAAAACCTCAAATTATTCAAGTTTCGTAATTACAATGAATATTTAAATCCTTACCTCTAAACTATTGGCATTCCATGACTCTGGCCTCTGTTTATAAACTGATGGTTGGTCATTATAAAAAGTAGATCTATGGAAAAAATAATTTATGCGATACACACAAAAACTAATAGAATAATTCATAGAGAGGTATATTAATCTCAGTACCTTGAAAGATAAAGTGTACGATCTTTATTCGGATTGGTCGGTAACAATTTGCTGACGCTTGCATGGCTGTCTTGATCGCTGGCTGTATAGAACCTAGATTTGCCAGCACCATAATTCATTTCGCTCCCAGTCTCATCAACTTTATGATCTTGGAGATATCTGTATGACATAAAAATGATTAGAAGTCGTATTCTATCTATAAAATGAAATTATCATAACTACATAAGATTGCTATACCTTGCGTGAGCACATTGGAGGTAATTCTGAAGCATCTGATCCACATATTGATGACGTCTACTTCTGATCCTTACACATAACAAACCTTCCGTTGAAAGTCCACCGGCCGTTACTGGTAAACTCTTTGGTCTCTTTGTCATAGACCACAGTCTTTTACTAACGGATTTTCCAATTGATCCGAATTGTTTAGCAACACCAAGCAATTGTTTCGCAGTTTTAGAAAGTGAACCATCAGTATCTGACAGTCTCTCGATTTCTTCCGATGTGAAATTTTGATATTCACAGTCTAAATATTGCCGCAATAAAATTTCCATCTAAATACCAATATTGAGTAATTATATTTTAATGTACGTTGTAACTATAGTTTATGTCATCGATAAGATTAATTACCGTATCTTGTTGACAAATTAACAAGTCTCGTGAACCTTCTTCCCAATCCCAATCAGGTCCTGGGTCTACCGCGAATAAAACTGATAGTAGTTGACCTGTATCTGGATCTATAAGAGGTATGCTAACACCTTCGTTACAACCATCTCCAAAATCACTCGCTCCATCCACCGTAACGAGAGGAGAAAAATGAGCTGAATGATATGCTAAAAGCAATGGGGTTCTATGACAACGTGTCGGAGATACTTCTAATGGTAAATACACTCCACCAAATGGAATTGGTGCTAAAGCTACACCTTCTGCATCTTTTAACATAGTCTCTGCTATAACTATTATAGGCCGCTTTAAAGCATGAGCCAAAGCTAATATATGTACCTATAAAGTTTCAATTGCATAAGTATGTGGTAAATCTGGAACTGCAGAAAAATTAGAAAAAAGTATGGAAACCTTACATACTTCTTCAAGACTTTGGTAGGAAGTAGCAGTTTGGTTCCTGAGAATAGGAGAAGCCATATCTACGATAGTTTGCCATTCTGTTAACCATTCTGCCTCTGTATAAGATAAACCTGAAGCTGCATTTAAGCCCATTTGGCGCCATTTCCACCTTCTAAACAAAGCATGTCTATATTCTCCTTTAGCCAATGTATTATACAGAGCTTCTCTGAGTGTAAGAAGTCTATCATGAAAGCCCCACATGCCAAGAGAAGCTGCATGTAGGAGACAATTGCCATCTCCTGATGTTGCCAAAGGCCATAAAACTCTGTTACTTCCATTTTTACATCCCCCACACCACCAATTTAAACGACCAGCAGCTTCCAAAGAAGTTAAGCACCCACCTTCTATTAGATCTCTTTCCAAAAATTGTCGAAATGAATCTAAGTGTAATGTATCGTTCAATTATTAAGACACAATAGAGAAAGTAATTGTAACTGGTTATACTAGAGCATAGGTAAAATACCTGGATATACAGTTAGATCAGGAAGTGAAAATGTAAACTCCGGAGTATCTAGAGATTCTATAGTTGCTAATTGAGAACGAGCATAAGAGACAATGGCAGCATTTTCAGTTGCTCGAGATATACCTCTGGCTAGCTTCTTTGTAGTTCCTCCTCCATTTTCCAATGCATTATTAGAACTTGTCTCTTTCTCCAAACCATCGTACGTGGACAGTCCTACGTTCATTACACTATCTTCTTGCACCTACAAAGTAGCAGTTCATCTAAAATTAATGACGTTACAATTACAAAAGTGATAAAAAGATATCATAGAAAATGTATGCGAGTTATCATATAGTATACAACTAAGAGTTACAAAAATGCAGCAGTCAAATGGCTTTACACAACAATATACATGTATATATTAGTATTTAAAAATAGAACAAGGTGACATTTGTATGGTAATAAACATAGAATGGTTATGTACATAACAAATTTAATTATAAATACAATTAAAAGGAAAAGAAAGCGAGGAGAAAGCATTTTAATCCTCATGATTACGAAATATCAAAAGTGACTAAAAAAGCAGACGGTATATATATGTACATTTATACATATAAATAGAATTATATATACGAAGAACTTGTATGTATATGTGCCACTATCGGATATCATTATTCAAAATGTGCAAACCTTGGCCCGTATATCGAATTAGTGAAGTGGAGCGTAGCGGTAGAGTATCGTTAAATAGTATTCTAATTGGACTACGATGCACAAGCCGTTCGTATACTATCTCACATTTTGTTCCACTGTATTCGTACTAAATCCTATCTCACAAGGCTACCCACAATGTATGAAAACGGCCAAGAATCTGTTTGCACAGAAGCTGATACAAACACAACATAACCTAGAACACGCAATCTCGAAAGTAACTGGTTGGAGAGTAAAGAGAATAAGAAGCGAATTATTATTATTGCGTCACGGAAGTCATCGTGAAACTCTAAATCGGTCACATGTCTAATTAACGAGGGATTAAGAGATACACTGTTGTTATTTACGCAGTTGCATTCCCGCCCACCAATGGACAAGTTGATTCTGATCACGATAACGTAACCAATTTTGAAATACAAGAAATTCATTCGTACCGTTTATCACATAATATCGTGTCGCTACTTAGAAATGCATTTAACCTTGAAAGCAAGCATTGCGCATCACATGTACCGCCCACCTATATAGTATGACATATGTATAACACATTTGTAGAATAATTTAATAGAAAACACCACCAAAATTAATCATTGACCTTTATCAAGTTACATCGTTCTCTTTTATTTTTATCAATATAAAATCATATAACTGTTTCATTTTAACTTTAACTTTTTTGGGGTTTGGGTTATTAATCATTATGATTCATTATTATTATCGTTCCAAAGATAAACACCTGCTTTTTCTTAACATTCCGTTACGTTGTTTTTTATTAAAAAGCAATTATACATCTTCTAACGGTAGACAATGTAACATTATTCATTGAGAGTGTTTTTGGAAGATTACAGAAAACTGTGCAACTGAAAAAGCCGCCTTAACATGATTTACTAAGTCGCGTGCAAACTGTAGCGCCACAGGTTACCATTTTTCGACATTGTAGTTCGTCTACCTTGCTTAAACGTAAGTTGCGAGACGCGACCATGCCGATGTAGTAGGCGTGCACGAGTGTGTGTGTTATGTACTCGTGTCCGTTTTAAACCTCAAAAAGTTGGTCGATTTTGCTGGAAAAGTTTGTCAGTTTATCGTGGATGATAATATTTTCATACAGTGGACAGAGAATCGGAAGGAATATTATCACGATGAATAATTGCGGCATACACCTGATGTTTTTTCTATCAGTTAATCTGTTGATTCTATTGGGCCACGTAGCCGGTTCTAAGGTGTTGCAAATTCGTGGGATACCTAACGCGAAAAGTTCGCTTTATCCATCGGATCGTGACTTCCAGTGCCTTGATGGAAGCCTAATAATACCATTTTCACATGTAAATGATAATTATTGTGATTGCGCGGATGGCAGTGATGAGCCCGGTACGCCTGCCTGCACAAACGGCTCATTTTACTGCGAAAATTCCGGTCATAAGCCTCGCTATATACCATCCACCTGGGTAAACGACGGTGTTTGCGACTGTTGCGATGCCAGTGACGAATATAGCTCAGGCAAGGAATGCTTAAATAATTGTAATGAACTTGGGAAGGAAGCCAGGTTGGAGCAACAAAAGGCAGAAGAGTTGATAAGGGAAGGTAACAAGATAAGGATGGAAATGATTGCTAAAGGCAAACAATTAAAGACAGATTATCAAGCACGCTTAGTTAAATTACGCTCAGAATACGAAGAAGCAGAACTTGTAAAGAAGGAGAAGGAAATATTGAAGACTCAAGCGGAGGAACGCGAAAGAGCTGCTTTAGAAAAGTACAAGCCAGCTGAATCAGAACAATCTGTAGCACAAGAGGGAGAAGAGGATGAAGAATTACACGAGTCAGATGCAGAGGATTATTTTAAACTGCTAGACTCCGATAATAGTGGTACGGTAACAATTGCAGAGCTTCAAACTAGGGTGACGTTTGACAAAGACAGGAATGGAGTTGTAACCGAAGAAGAGGCCATGTATTTCTTAAATAATCAGAAGGAAGTCAATCTTCAAGATTTTATTGATTCAGTATGGCCAAATGCAAAGGTCTTCTTAATGTTAGAACAAGGTTAATAGAGAGATTGTCTGTTGGTGATACATTTCTTTTACTTCTATTTTGAACTATGCATTGTATTAATATCTTATTTCAGGGATGTTTAAACCAGCAAGTCAGAAAGAGGAGGGAGAAGACGAAGAAGATGAAGAAGGAGAGATTCACGAGCCAGCGGATGAAATATCTGAGCAAGAAAAAGTTGAAGTTGATGGCACAGAGGCAGATGAAGTTGCAGGCAAAGAACAGCTGAAACCTGAGGAATCTCAAGTGCAGTACGACGAAGAAACGCAAACTCTCATAGATGAAGCAACAGCTGCACGTGAGAATTTCGAAAAAGCGGAAAAATCCGTGAATGAACTGTTAACGGAAATCAGAGAGTTTGAAGAAAAATTAGATCGTGACTTCGGCGTTGACAATGAATTCATACCTCTAGACGGTGAATGTTTCGATTATACCAATTTGGAATATGTTTACACCTTGTGCATGTTTTCGAGAGCGACGCAGAGATCGAAATCTGGCGGTAGCGACATTAACTTAGGTCACTGGAACGATTGGAGCGGACCAGAAGGTCAAAGGTATTCGAAGATGAAATACGACTCTGGCCTCAGTTGTTGGAACGGACCTGCGCGTTCTACCATTGTCAATCTCAGCTGTGGTAAAGAAAATAAACTAGTTTCAGTGACTGAACCTAGCCGGTGCGAGTACGCTATGGAATTTTCCACGCCAGTTGTATGCAATGCGAATCTGGAATCCGCTAATACACATGACGAATTATAAATTTCATATCGCATAAACGTGCAGGATTTAATACGCGATTGTATGACTTTGAAATGTAAGGTACATAAAAATGGCAAGGGTGAATAACGACCGCGCGATTCACCTATTTTCAAGTTTGTTTCTTGAATGTTTAACGCGTTAAATAAAAAGTTATTACAACATTCGCAAATTTGCACAAAGTTTTTTACTATTGAAGATAAAGGAAACTGATAAGCTATAGTAAGAGACCCTAGTCAAAACTTGCACGATAAGTAATGGTAATTTTATCGAGTATCGAAATCGTGATCGGTTATTCGTCCTTGCATTAGAAACTCTTTGTCGTTGTACTTGTATACATGAACAAACAGAATTCGTAGCCGATAACGCGGTCGTGAGTTATCAACGAGCTCAGTTTGCTTAAAAGGTAGAGAGACATTTTAATATTCGTGATAAGTGAATAAGAAGTCGTTGTTACACGGTAATTGCCAATATTGTGTTACTGTTATACATTCCTCCTTTTGTACGAGACGAATTTTTATGAACTGGTCCGAATAAAACGACCTAAGCTGTTTCACTCGTCATTGGGTCATCACGCAGTTGAGCGACTACCTATTTTCGTCAAGGTCTACAAGACTCTCGCCCGAAGTAAATGAACTGAAGCAACCACTCATGCACACATATACACTCTGTAAGAAAATTTCGAGAAAAAAAATTTTCCCAAATTGCTACGTGTAACGTAGAAAACTGTATTTAATGTATCGAGATATTTTGTAATTTTCTAAAGATGCGTACGTGATCGACGTATCGGAATGCGGGTTCAATAAAGAGGAAAAGAATTTTGTTGTCGAACTGTAATTACGATGGCAGCTTTATTTACATTAAAATGGGCGACTTTTACTCTTTCTGTATTATATGCCTGTATATATTTATGTGTATTTATATATACTATAATATGTATACAAATATAAATATATATATATGTATATATACATATATTTATATTTATATATACGCGTATTTATTTATATATATATATTTATTTATTTATATTCTTCTTTCAATTATGCCAGTTCTTATACGTTATAGTGATGGTTAATTCAATTCTCTATTTATGTCTCATTAACCTAACAATCTACGCGTATCTTTTGGAGTTTGAGACTTTTACAGTTAACTAGAAAACTAAAAGGGGAGGTGGTCAATAGGGAGGAAAGTGATAAACGTTTCTGCGCGATTTATCCAACAATGTCCGCAACCAGTCGATTCCTTGGTACTTCGTTAAGGCACTTAAAAGACTGGAAAGAAGTATCTTGTCTTGTCACGCGGTATTACGTGATGAAGACGATACGCTCTAACGTCTTTTCTTCACCCCACGATGATCCACTGTTTCCCTTTGAACGTACACGGATTATTTTGATCTCAACGTGGAATTTATAATTCTCAGACGTACAATCTTCAATTTAAAATCAAAAGATACATTTCGTTTATCGTATTACTCATACAAAAAGAAAACAACTTAAAGCATTATCGCTTCTTCAAAATCTGGAAAGAGTAGATCGAGTATCTAATAGTACAGAATATAATTTCTGTCAATTTCGCGTGGTTTGACGTCGACACGTAGAAACTACTAGATTGATATGGAAAGGCAGCATTTCCCAAAGATTTTACCACAACATCTCTAAATATAATTGAACTATGTTTTCGTTTAACAACATACCCTGTGTTCGCTTAATGACTCGTCTTGGCCATTGAACTAAACACTCCTTAAATCATGTTGACTATTATATTTTCTATATTATCTTTTATATATATTCTCTTTATTCGTATACCTTTTATTCGTGCCTAATTTTGCAATGGGGTTTTTCCTTTTTGTATTTACACAGTGGAACGAAACACGACATTTATTAGCGACTCTAAGCTACTGTACAACAAGAAACACTATGCTCCTAACACGAGAAGAATTTGTAAGCACGACACGCGAGTATATTGATTCGCGGTATCGCGCACCACCTAATACTGCATTCGGCTATGACCGGTAATCTTATCGTGTATGCGATTTTTGTTTCATGTAGAAAAAAAGGAGGAAGAAAATACGATTGCAACGGAACAAGTTAAATAACACGCGATTTACAAGTAATTACGGCCAGTAATTATGTTTAAACACGTTGACCTTACAACTTTCTCGCCACGGACCAACTTAAAATCTTTTTACATATTGATTACCTTTCCACTTTCCTTTGTTTCTTTTCTTTTTTGGTGTTTGCGAGTGAGAAACGAAGATACGCCTCATGAAAAACATTATAAAAATTTGAAGTAAATAATTTACATTATTGTCCATCTTATAGTCTTAACCAGTCGAACATCTTCGTTCGTATTTCGTTTCCTTCAGCTTATTCAGTCTACAAATGAAATCCAGATATAAAAAAGTTTACATAGGAAAAAAAGGCTTTGCATAGTCTCGACCAGTTTCTCTTCTTATGTATCCTTTTTTCCCATTAAACAGGCGAAATCAATCAAACGCGTGCCTGTTAATTAATTACGTGTGTAGATGTGTGTAGTGTTCATTTGCCGAGTTTCTCAAACATGATTAGTTTCTCCTTGAAACTCTTCGTGTCCGTGGATACTTCGGATATATTGCCGTTTAACATGTTTTGCAAATCTTCGTCGTTCTTACTAACGAGGAGATTGTCGAAGATCATTTTGTTATCTTCTTGTTTAGCGACTGGCGAGGTAGGCTGTGACGTGGTGATCTGTTGCTTCTTCTTAGGATAAATCACAGAGCTTCGTTGGTTATTGCCGTTGTCGGCCATTCTGGTAACTATCGTGATGGCTAATAATTGATGAATGTCGATGTTCTCCTTCGATTCCGATGATTGGCGCCAGTAGAATTTGTCCGGTGAGATCAAGGATTTGGAGTCCTCCGTGCCGTCCGCCATTGAAATTTGTTCCGAATGCGACGTCATTAGAGGTTTATTGGTCCAAGGATCCTGAAAATAGAAACATTTCTTTTTTTACTCGACCAATAATTAATGCGAGCAAAAATCGACTTTCTCAAAAACTTACATTTTTGTCGCGTCTATCCGCAACAGCGTCCGCGAGATCTTCGTGTTTTCTATCCTGATCCAAATCTCTCTCCAAACTGTCCAAAGTTTCGGTACTCTCCGACGACTTATTCCTCCTCTCAGAATCCAACGTATCCGTACTGCCAAGCTCCGAGCTTTCAGACGATTTCTGAAGCCTGGCTGGTTTCCTAACCGTGATCGGTCTTTTCTCTTCCTCTCCATCGTCCGTTGGGACGATGTCCACGTAACTGGTGCTCGGTATTCTTTTTGGCGTTCTTCTGATTCTCCTGTTTTCCAATCTGTCATCCGACTCCAAATTGTCAGAGCTTTCGGACGACATACGTTTCGAGGATCTCCTGCAGCATTTCCCGAAACTATCTCCGATATTTTCCCCCTCGTCTTTCGACTCGCTTATCTCGATCCTCTCGAAATCTTCCGACGACTTGGACGTACTCTTTGATAACCTTCTTCCCCGAGACAGATTGATATCCGAAATGCTACTCCTCTTCTGCAGTTCTTGAACAGTCTCCGTTCCAATCTGCGTTTGCTCCAAAACCTCGAAATTCTCCGACGACTTTGATATGTTCTTGGAGGATCTGCGAGCGCGCAACTCGAAGCTACTCCTCCTACGTTCGATGGATTCGTCGCTGGCTAACGCCTCTATCGCTTCTAGGCTGTCGGAAGACTTGGACACGCGATCGATCGACTTCGAGATTGGGTTTAGCAGTCTTCGAGTCACGGGTTTCGCTTGTTCGTACTCCATTAATTTGTCGAAGCCTTCCGTAGATTTGGAGAACCAACTGGGAGCCACTTCTAGACTATCAGGCGATTTCGACAATCTGTTGGAGGATCTCCTTCGAGGTAGCTTCGATTCCAGCTCTTCGAACATCTCTGTATTCTTTGGTGTTCGATTCGACGCTTTCCTGACGATCGATCGAACTTCTGGCTGCTTCTCCAAGTCGTCGTTCACCTCGACGCTCGCTCTCGAGGCAGTCACGGCGTCCAGGCTATCCGGGGATAAAGAGGCCACGCTAGGTGGCTTTCTAGGAAGTTTAGCTTCCAGTTGCTCGAAAATGTCCGACGTACGCGACAATCTACTCGAAGATTTCCTCGTGATAGACACGTTCTTCGGTTCAGTCGGTGAAGACGCATTGCTGTTCACGCTGACCGTTTGCTGGTCCAAGCTGTCCAACGAATCCTCCGCTATGGTCGTGATCGTCGACGTGGATGTGTTGGCAGCTTGAGAGCCAGTACGCCTCGGAGGCCTCCGGTTTTTGGGTCGAACCGCAATTCGGTGATGTGCCGCTGTATGGTTCAAACTGGCGCTTTCCAGTTGCGCTGGTGGACAAATGGAAAGTTTTGTTAAAATAAAATAAATTTGACTTTATCTACCTAGTCGTTCGAATCACGTTTTACGAACAGACTGCGGATTTTTGCGCGTTATTTATTACAGTACGAAATAGTTCGATAACTTTCGAAGAAATATTTGAATCTTGAAGATCAACCACGATCCTCTTGAAAATTCTAGGTAGACGCGTTATAACACGATTTAAGTTCACTGCTCTTCGCGTCCATAGAAATATAAATTTATATTAAAATCCGACAGTCTGTGAAATTACGTAATAAGAATAAGAACGTTAAGTTAGACACTTACGTAAATCTTCTTTGGCCACAGGTATAATATGATCGATCGTGTCCTTTGGCGATTTTGAGCCCTAGAAAACAAAATTCAGAAATAAATTCAATACACCGTTTACTCAATTAATCGTCGTTAAACTCTGTATCAAAAAACAAATACGGAATTAATATTATACGACGCCAACGACCGATTACAGAGAATTTAAAAAATTCGTAAATTAATAGAAAATTAATAAAAATAGACCGACGACGGGCTAGACGAATTATTCGTGACACTGTTAGTGGCCTTTGAGCCGAGTGCATCGGCAGGCGGGCTCGCAAAACGCCGGGTATAACGGTATTAACCACTATCGGGACGAGCAAGTGCGGCCAGTTAACCGTGATCGTTCGAAACCGGTTGCAGGTGCCGTCTCGAAAGACACTTCTTCACCAGGAAAACCTTTCGTTCGTGCTACCGTTCCCCCCTCGTTTTGCGGCACGTCGTTGTCGAGAGCGTAATCGCGCGGCAAACAGCTGGTATACAAGTCGATCAGAGAATCTACGCTCGTTTCGTAAAACGAAACTCGAATTTCTCTTTTCTTTGTTCGTCGCCGGTCTAACTCTACCGCTGACACACTTCAACCTATTAGCCGGACAATAAGTAATTTGTTACTTGAATCAATTGCCTTTTGGATATGATAATTTCTTTATTCAAAAGGGTTTTCTAGCGTAGAACATTATAAATAAAATTTGCTTTTCTACTTCTGTATTGTCCGGAAGTATAGATACAAGCAACAACTACGCTTGCAAAAGAATTTCGCAATATTCGTAATATTATTTTACGTGAATTGTTATATGTCAAAGTTGCTTGTTATCTCGATAAACAGAATGATCGTTAATATTTTTCATATCGTTTGTGATACTTTTCTTTCATCTCGTTTCACGTGGTAATGACGTTCGTGCCAATTAAGAATGTCTTTAGTTTTGTCGATGTAGATAAGTAGAATGTCAGCCAGTAGATTATACATTTCTTTTAACGGACCGCGTTAAATACCTTATAACTCGATCAATTTCAATTTTATTTACTTCGAAAAACGTGGCGACTAATTTTAAAACATAAATAAACGAATGGTACTAAAAAGTTTTACAGTTACTTCGAAAAAAGGAAAAATCTTAAAGTCTGAAAGATGATGTTCTATACAGACCACCAGGCGGTCTACAATATTCTCAATCTAAAATACCTCCTTAAGTATTCCGTATCTTTTAATTAAAAACAAATTACGTCGTATATCAATCCAATTAAAATTGATCTGTCCTCGTTAACTTCTACTTCCATGATTGTACAGATTTCTGATCGAAAGATGGCCTGGTTAACAGATTAATCTTAAACTAATCTTAGCCACGTCATTGTGAGAAAAGGTTTGATTGGATTTTTCTTTCTTTCTTTTTTTTTTTTTTTTTTATCGGATCTGGCCGAAGATCGACGTAATTAACGGCCGATCGATTACCTCGATCGTCTCCTCGATTCGTGGACTCGCGTCTTTGATTATCGGCGGGATCCTCTGTCTCGTTTCCGGCTTCGAGCGTGGTCGATCCTCGATCCAGCACGAAGATCTAACAGATCCTGTCGACTCATCCTCCGCTTTATCCTACATCGTTCGAGCAACATATCGAATAATATACAACGTGTCTCTAGTAACGTGAAAATCACGGGATCTGATCGATTACCTCGATCGTATCTTCAGCTCGAACGGATTGCTCTTTCATCGCCTGAGGGATTGTACGTCTGCTCTCTGGCTTTGGTCTTGGCCGATCCTCGATTTTGCACGCCGATCTTATCGATCCGAACTCCTTGTCCTCGATCTTGTCCTTGCAGCCAAATTTACGTAACGCGTTATTACTAAACTAACGATGTGTATGCATTCGCGGGCGATTCGGAGTTGCAAAATTAGATAGGGCGCATGTATTATATGCAGAAACATATAAAACACGCAAAGAATAGCGTAAACGTGGGACATATTGTATCTCGCATTAGTATTCGTTATAGCGTTTAGCGAATGAAACAAATCTTTGCTTTCACGTCTGTAGTTAGACATTGGCAGTCTAGTCATTACGAGGGAGTTAGGATGTATTGTGTGAGCGATTTGTCGATTCGTGGAGTTTCGCGAAGCTCGTCAATTGTTCGCGTGAAGATTATTCACTTGTGTAATAAACGGAATAAAATTTGACGGGAAAGAGATATTCCTTGTACCTCGAAGCATCATAAGTATAGTACTGCTTGCGAGCTTTTATGCCGAATAATAAGTATAATAACTAAATTAAGTTAAATTTGGTATGAAAACTTTCTCTATTTATATACTCGCCACCGTGCACAGCAGAATCACGCGACACAGACACAAGAAAAATTTGGAAACAAAAATTCCGAAAGAATCAACGAATTCGCAACGTTACTGGTTGTCAGACTGCAGATATTTATGCGAAATTTAAAAATGCAAGAAGCAACAAAATACACGATATCTATGTAAGATATCCAAAGTACTTGGTAGCTAAATATGATACCCGTTTACGTTATATGCTTCAAGCCATGTTCATAAAAATACGAAGTTACATAAACATCCGCAATCCACTTGTTATATTGTATTATTTTGTAGATCAATGAGATCAAAGACAGTATTGCAATAATCGGGAATTAGCAATTAGAGATGACGCCGAACTAACATTGGTATCGTCGAAATAAAAAGATGGAGCTTCGTAAAGGTTTCGTTCCACGAATCCGCTAGCACAGTGGTAGGAAACAACGAAAGGACACGTTCGAACCGAGGCTAGTTTTTCCTGATCGATTACCTCGACCGCATCGTTCTCGGCAGCCTCATTGTTAATCGAGCAGAGGATCTTTCGCTGGCCGGTTTCCTGTTTCGGTCTCGGTCGATCTTCCAACCTGCACACGCGCCTAATCGGGGCGGGTATCTCGTACTCGACCTTCTCCTTGCACCCGTACACGCCGATGCTGATCTTCGCCGTCGGTTGCACTGCCTGGTAACCCTTGCATCGTGCGCCATCCTGTTTCGTCCGGTCGATAAGCCGTCTCGTCTCTACCGGATTCAGATTCAGCTGCTCGATTATCGCCCGTATGTTCGACGAGATGCTGCCCTCGCGGTGAGACACCACCATGATTCCAGCGATTGGTTTGCCCGATCCTCGAATACTTGTCGATCCTAGCGCGACCTCAGACGACCAGGATCGGCCCAACTCCCGCTGCTACGACGATCTCGGAATTGCCGCGAGAACAACGTCATAGGACAGCCGAGTGCTCGAGTTATCGATAGCGAAGTTTCTGGAATTTCATTGGGAATTCAGACGAGGGTCCTACGATTTTTCGAGCCACGTTCCTGGGATGCTGGGAATTACGGAAATCGAGATTCTGTCGAAGAGAAAATCCAGGAGTTTCGTAGCAGAATGGTACGTACAGCGAAGGACGAAAGTATTCGCGATTGACGTCGATATTCAGATTCCGAGGAGACCGTGTTTCTTATTTGATTCGTCTTAAATTTGTTCGGTATAACTTAGATTGTGACGGAAGAAAATATCGCAGGAGATATAATTATTACGATTTAAATTTTGGCTTTGTATATATCGGATGGCAACCTTGCACGGATACAAAATTCTGTTTGATTAATCGTTTCCTCGATACTTCATCTGTAAACGTCAATGATTTTTTGATATTGATCGTATCCTAATACGTACAATCGTAAACGTATGCTTTGAATCGATCTTCTGACATTTATAAAATAAATGAGAATTTTGTTATAATTCAACTATGTATCTGATTAGAAAATATGTTTATCGTAGATAAACGTGTTTATCATAGACTTATAGATTTTCTCTTCGAAAAGCTTCTCAATCTTCTTTTACGATATCCTATTATAAAAAAAAAACTTTCGCAAAGAAGGCAAACTTTCCAAACGATTTATCAATGCGATGGGGTCTTCCTCTAGAACAATTTCGACCGCTAAACGCCGATCATTCCCCCCTCGACCATCGAAGCTTGAGAACACGTTCTCCAGGCCAGAACAATCGCGCTTGTTCCTAATTGCGTTAACGAACTCCTCGGCCTACCTAGTTTTCGCGGTTAGCGTATCGCTTTTCTCAGGATTTCACGACCGCCTCCAAGCTCGTCCTCCTTTTCCTCCGACCACTCTCGGGTTCTGGGGGACCGTTTCTCACGCGACCTTCTATACGATCCCTCTCGACAGAATCACCACGAAATTACTTGCCGCGTTTCGATTCGTGCGTCAGGTAGATAATCGGCTTGGGGAAAAGTCACGGACGCACAATGCGTAGTAGGTACGGTACGTCATATCGCATTTTCTGAGTTGTTGCCTGCGTTGTTTCGTGCAAACAATAGATAACCACCGTCTCATTATCGTGGTCGATTATACTCGACGAACGTTAAGATCCGACGTAGAAAAGTGAGTTTTGTCGCGTGAGCGTTCCACGCCTGTTTTAACTGTTCGATTATATGGGAAACATTTTATGGTTTCATTGGCAATGAGACAGAGGTTACGAGATACCGTAAACGTACCGTAAACGTACGTTTAGAAGAAAGTTAATACGAACAGCCGTATGAATAGCCATTTTAAACTCGTAACAAGTGTTGAAGATAGTCTCACTGAATTCGAGACTTATTACCATAATAGATAATCAAGTGTTACATACGATTTCTCGTATTAAATATCTTGTAACTATAGACTTTCTCATTCGTTTAATTTCGATTCGTTTCAAACGAGCATCGTTACAGCGTCGATGAAATTACAAAATGTTTCGTAGCGCATATAATACATATATTCATAAAAGATGTGTACGAAAGTGTTCGAGCACTTTCCTGAGCCTGTCTACTGTCGGTCTGATTATTTATTGATTCTACAAGAACGTAATGAATATCGTTAGTTTCGTTAGATAGGTAGCTTCTTATTATTAGTTTCTCATTTATTTATACGTTTCGCTGATCTTCATATACCGATGCTACAAATTTATTAAATTAATAGAACTGTTGTTAACTAGTGTATATTAGTTATATGTAACGTACATAGTTAATATA